CATCAAAGTGGATTTCTCAGACTCTCTAGCTACCGGTACTTTGTCTGCCCTTGTTAATTTCACAACATCGTTGCGGATTAGTGACGTAAATTGATAGTGGAGAATATTCTTCCCAGTGTGGGACTGGCTTAAGACTAAGCTTGGCTGTGTACAATTCCTGAAATTCCCGTTATTTCACGAATTATTTGACGCTTAAGTGTTGACAAGTTTTTCGTTTTACGTAAGTAAAAATTGACTCAACACTCAAAGGAGAATCTCTCTTAAAATTTACCCCTTAAGATTCGAAGTTACCCTCCAAAATTCAAACGTTACTGTTAGGTTTATTGGCGCATTGATAGCCTTGTAAGTAGCCCAAACATACTGAAACATTTTCATTAGTTTTTGTATATCTTCATCCTTTGTTCACTACGATCTTACACATTTCGCATTTGAACTTTTCGTGGGGAACACGTGCTACAGCTTACACGACGTAATTTAAAGTTAACCGCTGTACTATAAACTTGTGTGTTCGACCCTCGACGAACGCCTTCGATATAGCGTCACCCATTTTGAAAGCTTAGTTATCCCCCAGCATGGCGGCCGTGTATATGGTTAGCCAAATGTTGCAAAATTCAACAACTTGCATATTTATATTCTACAACTAATATTTATGCTCAACCAAATATCTTTTTATTCAACAGTTTACAGGTATGTATATGAGAACGATTCTTCGCAGTAAAGCACTATTTGAGCAATAGTGAAAATCAGACCTGAAAAAAATTTCAGGCCTGTACGGGACTCGAACCACTGACCTCTGCGATACTAGTGCAGCGCTCTACCAATTGAGCTAACAAGCCAACTGGGAGCAGGCCATCAAATTAATTCGATATAAACCCGTAGATGATAAATCAAACAACAACAAACATATGAAACATATGTGTGAACTGCGGTTATGAGACGTATATGAGAACGATCCTTCGCAGTAAAGCACTATTTGAGCAATAGTGAAAATCAGACCTGAAAAAAATTTCAGGCCTGTACGGGATTCGAACCACTGACCTCTGCGATACTAGTGCAGCGCTCTACCAATTGAGCTAACAAGCCAACTGGGAGCAGGCCATCAAATTAATTCGATATAAACCCGTAGATGATANCTGCGAAGGATCGTTCTCATATACGTCTCATAACCGCAGTTCACACATATGTTTCATATGTTTGTTGTTGTTTGATTTATCATCTACGGGTTTATATCGAATTAATTTGATGGCCTGCTCCCAGTTGGCTTGTTAGCTCAATTGGTAGAGCGCTGCACTAGTATCGCAGAGGTCAGTGGTTCGAGTCCCGTACAGGCCTGAAATTTTTTTCAGGTCTGATTTTCACTATTGCTCAAATAGTGCTTTACTGCGAAGGATCGTTCTCATATACGTCTCATAACCGCAGTTCACACATATGTTTCATATGTTTGTTGTTGTTTGATTTATCATCTACGGGTTTATATCGAATTAATTTGATGGCCTGCTCCCAGTTGGCTTGTTAGCTCAATTGGTAGAGCGCTGCACTAGTATCGCAGAGGTCAGTGGTTCGAGTCCCGTACAGGCCTGAAATTTTTTTCAGGTCTGATTTTCACTATTGCTCAAATAGTGCTTTACTGCGAAGAATCGTTCTCATATACGTCTCATAACCGCAGTTCACACATATGTTTCATATGTTTGTTGTAGTTTACAGGTATATTCAACATTTTATATTTATGTTCAACGACACGCATTTTCTTTTCATATTCAACCCGAATTATTTTCATTCAACAACAATAGTTATTCAACTTCAATAGCTATATTTATTATACTCAACAAAATTAATTGTTCAACTTCTGTCCAAACTTTTTACCCAACAAAAATGATTATTCAACTTCTACCATGCATAGTTATTTAATGACATACCTTCTATTATGACTAAGTGTTTGAAAGTTCCCGGACATTCAAAATATCGTCATTCAACAAAATTCTCCGCCCCTACCCCAGAACTACCCCCAAACATGAAACCCATCCCTTCCAATACGAAGATTATAGACTGGAACCCGATCATTCAATTTGCCCCAAAAATCAATATAGCAGCCATAACACTGGACGAAGATTCATTTTTCGATTGCTTTGAGGATGTTATAAGCTTGTTAAATGTTTGTGAAGAGGGAGAAAACAGTATTTCCCGACCATTCTATTCGGGCATTGCTGTTAATAAATATTTTATTTCAAATGTCTACCAAAGGGAAAATAAGCCAATCAATGGTCATGTATGAGGTCATTTCAAAACGTAAACTGACTTTGGATCAGTTGAGAAAAGGATTGATTACCCTTGGTGTTCTTGATGAGATGTCAAAGCACCCACATTTGTTTGAGAGTGTGTTCACCTTTAAACCTGTTGAGCTGACACCAGCGATAGTTAGAGAGTATCTCAAATATCCAGATGAATTAAGTGACCAAATTAAGTACCAGATATACTGCTAAGTGAGAACAGTTTGGAGTATTCCCTAACCCCAGTTCTGTCAATTTTCGGCACCAACTGTAGAACAAAACCCTTAAATTTCCAGCAACTTCAGTCAACTCTCCTTTGCACTCTTTTACAATCAGTAACACGTTTTCGACAAATTTTGCCACTGATTCTAAGCAATTGATCACCCTCTCTATAAATGCTTCGGATTCTGAGCCAGCTCCAGAGTCCGCCGTATTGGATAAGTCATCCATTCTTGATCCGCTGGCCACTGCAGAAGAACCCGATACTTCCAACGCCGTGACTTTCCAGTTACTACATGACTCAACGTCAAAAGGCAGACCCAAACTTGTCGACAGCAGGGGCTATAGCTACAACATTAAGCGAAGGCGACCAAAAGCTGTTGACTGGCAGTGTACTAGCCGACGAAAGGTAAATATTGTTAACCATAAAAAATAACAAACAAACAAAAAAGTTGTAATCAATTTGTCAGTTCATAATTTGTCTTTCTGTTTTATTGAAGGTTAACCCATGTAGAGCGTCCGTAATAGAGCGCGACGATGGCACATTCCAGATAGAAGCACACCGCCACAACCACTCTGCAGACGTCGGCGCAGCAGTCACAGCCACCATCACAGCCAAAGTCAAAGCAATAGCTGCTGCCAACATCTTCCGACCAGCGTCGAGTATCGTTGAAGAGGTACTCCTAGAAAAGTCCTTTCCCTCCGACGATGGACTAACGCTCAAAACGTCAGCTTTTATAACCGTAACGGTGGCCAATTTACCATTTCAACTTTGTTGGAATAATTATTTTTGCTTGGCCAGTAAAAAAAAAGTCTAATCAAAGAACTTTTACTTCCGTTGGAAAGAAAAAATTTTACATAAGAGTCGGATACATGTACACAGCCTTTTATACAATATTTGTTTCAAAGTTTTTTTATATTCTTCTGTTTACCAGAATCATTAATATGTACAGAAGCTTTTACTCTCCAGCAGGGGCTGCATAAAACATGATTAACAGTTCTTATGTGTAAGTTTCGAACTAAAACCATA